CGCGTTTCCTTCGAGGAAATCCAAGAGATGGTCCCTTAGTATGCTCTCCATGATCTTCCCTGGGATACTCGTGAGACCTTCCGGCCTGTAATTTTCTGGATTACTCTTTTCGCCCTTATTAAAGATCGGTACGACGTGTCCTAATTTCCAGTCCTTAGGTACTTCCCCGCGCGATTGATAGTAAAAATACACAATTGCAGCATCCTAAGTTATACCGTTTTAGAGAAACCATGAGACAAAATTCTTGACAAATGGCCGAAAATATCTCTTTATCTAAGCATCGAATAACCCTCCGTAAGGGATCAAATGCAAGTTCTTCAAAAGAGCTTCTATTGGTTTGCAACATGTACATCATAATGCAGCATTTAAAAATTAATCCAATTTTAAGCATCTGCAATGTATGTCCCACCTGTAACTTTCGTTAAGGCTGGTACAAAAGTATCATGTGGAAGCAGAATGACATGAAATCTTGAGTTTCATCCCCTGCGTACATGCGTACAAACTCACAATAAAACAACAATCGAAAAAATTTTGACACATGGTGACCCATTTCGACCCATTGTGACCTTCCCAGAATCTCACTAATCAATAGTAGCTAGAGTTGACCAATAGAGATTCAAAGTGATCCATGGTGACCCATGGCAATCAAAAGTGATCCAATTTGGCCACTCTTTCTAAATTTTTGTAAACTTATATCGCCTTATGAAAATGAGGCCCAAGTTGGATCTATTGGACAAGTTGGACAAAATTGAGAAAGGAAATCCACTCTACAAGTAGCATTAAGCTGAGCTAATCCTACATGTGTCAGGAGGACTTATAGCTTCTTTTTATGGGTGGGACATTTTCGATGCAGTTGATTACTTCGAACAGCAATGAATAAGAGAAGGGTCCTGGAGCTCAGCCGTGCTAGACTTACATGCAGGAGAACATCGGACAAATGCAGATTGACAGAAATGAAAAGTTTTACTGTAGAATTTTCCGTTTTTGTCTCCTTGGAATTGCTTCTTTTTGGCCTGACACACTCGAGAAGGACTCACGCTATCAGTGTTTATTCGAAATGTCTGGTCGAGGCAGGGGATCAATAGGCTTTAGTAGCATCTATTCCCTTTCTTCAACTCTTTCCTGCCACAAAATTCAATGTTCTCGTATTCCTCTCAGAGCATTTAGTGGAATGAATTGGGAATACTTCTTTCACTTTCACTTCCGCAAGTTTTCTTATGATGAATAAAATTAAATACAATTAATTGGAGCTTTCATGCATGGAGTCATTGTCATGCCTTCATCTATGAGGGCTTTTTCTCGATCCAGTGCCTTCCTTGTAAATTCTCCTACAGTTGAATCGCTCACATAAATGCTGAGTCACACATTTCCTGCAGCGAATCTACTGGGGGGACCCTCCGCTTTGGTTTCCCACTCCTGCTGATCTGGCGTGTATATCTCAAGTCTGCATAGGCCTGGCACCAGAACGAAAGATGTAGCTCGTTCTCCTCTTGATAGAAGGGAAAAATATATATTTTTCATCTCCAACACTCGCTAGATTCGACCACTTCTATGTTCCCAGCTTCGAAATAATTATCTGGGATCTGACAAATTTCTTCTCTGTCCTTGTCAAATAAGCCTCTCTGGAGAGTTCCGTTTTCGCCTTTGCATATATTCAAACGGATCTCATTACATGACAACAAGACTGCTGCACTTGACCAGCCATATCCTTCAATCGCACTTACTTATCTGATGGAAAGCAGATTTTCCTTCCTGGGAAAATTATATCAGTTAAAAGATATGTTTGCTTTTGCAGCGGCTGAAGACGACCACGAGGATGAGGACGGTCTGGTGGTAGTGTTCATGAGTCATGGTGAACAAGGTGGGATTCTAAATACTTTTGATGCAAATATCAATATTGAAAGTCTTTATGAAGCTTTCCTGCCTGAGAAATGTGCTTCTCTAAAGAACAAGCCAAAACTCTTCTTCATCCAGGTTACACCATCCCTAACTTCGTCTTTCATCTTTCCCTAAAAAATGTTTCATTTGATCAGGCAGAGGGAACATCTGCTTTCGACTATTTCTTCATTTCAGGCTTGCAGGGGTGAGAAACATGATGAAGGGATAAAGGTGGAGCGCACCAACAAAGGTACGGACAGGAATGTACCAGAAAACAATGTCGACGGTGGTAAATACAATACCGAAAGTGCTGAGACCAGCACCAGCGATGAGTCCAACATCGTGGGTGTTGAGATCGACGACGATGAGATCAGGATCCCCAGCACAGCAGATTTCCTCATCGCAAAGTCTACTGTCAAAGGTTCGCATTATTGGCTTTCATTAAGATCATATGGCACCAAAATTAAAATCTTGGATTTATTGTCAGAAAATGTGAACAATAAGGCAAAGCAAACACAAACATTCTAAGCAAATTCTCAAACCTATAACACACGTTCGCACGGACTCTTAAATGTTAAGGTGGCATGATCTCACCTTCTGCTTAGGTCTTCTAATCCGCCAATTTTCATCCCTTACGTTCCATTGCTTCCGTTAATGAAGTTGATAAATGATGGCCTTTCTAGACTTTTCATTGGTTATCTTGTTCCTCTAGCAGAAGAACGCATACACTGACCCTTAGCAATACCAAGGGCTGGGCGACGACAGGGGCACTTTTTGTCTGTAGTTTTCACGCCCAGGAACTTTCTCTGTCCCCCATATCATTTTATTCTTTGTATCCTCGTCCTCATGTGGTTAGAGGCCACATCACTTTCCTTAGATTGGATTCCACTCCTTCCATTAGTATGCAAATTAAAATTAATGAAGTAGAAACATGCAATGATGAAGGTATGCAGGTGATGGCAAGTACACTGTGTGCCTCGTGCAAAATGTACATTCATGTATATGTTTTTACCCGGCTCATAATCTCTTGAGAAGGAATTAGTTGCTCATAGATAGTTTTTAAACCTTGAAGGTGAGGCTTTGATGATATTAGCAAATGTATTTGTTTTTCTTTTTTCGAACCAAAAATGAAGGGTTGTTGCAGACAAATGAATTATGTAATCGCATTCCCGTCACATTCTTATATTTTACAAATATTATTTAGTGTTTGACTTAAGTATAGTATTTTTCACCTCGTGGAAATAGGGTATACATTCCAGTATTGGGTAAGTACATTGGTAAGTATTGTTGAAATAAGAATATCTGCACTGCCAACTTTAATTTAATTTGGATATTCGGAGTGTGCAGGTAAGCCATTTTTTTAAACTGGGCTCAGGAACCATCTAACCGATTCCAGGAAATTTCTCACAATGCAAATAGGCCTATAATGAAATCTGACTTATTGGGTTGACAGCCTCGTTGATTAAACAGGTTATGTGGCCTATCGCAACGGAACAAACGGTTCACGATACATCCAAAGTTTGTGCAATGTCTTGTTGAGACATTCGGGGAAGAGAGACCTCTTGGGGATGCTGACCATAGTTGGAGCCGAGATGGCTAGATTCGAGCAGGGAAAGAAGCAGATGCCTTGTTTTTACTCCACCCTCAAAAATCAAGTTTGGTTCAAAGATCCCAATCCCAGTTACTAGAATACCAAAAGGAAGTGCAGCGATCCCGATGCTCCTTCCCGAAAAAAGACCAAACAATTATGAAAATTTGCCTTTCCTTTGCAGAATTGAGGATTTTGCTCCAAATGATCACTGCAGAAACCCAAAAAATGCATGCATATTGTTGCTGCTAGAACAACCTTGAATTACATGTCAATATTCTGATTCATTCAGTTGTACCCAATTATTAGTGGCATCATCTCATTCACCCTACTACCTTTTCTTTCATTTTGGGGTTCATGGACTCTGCATAGCGTTTGGGTACGTATTCTCTCGGTATTAAAAACAATAGGGAAATATATATGTATCATATATATTCAATACTCAATCAAGTTCCTTGTCAAGAGATACCATGTAGGTGCAGAGAGGGAGTTGCAATGGTCGCAAAGCCATTGACACATTTTCACACACTATGAAAATTGATACCTCATGATCTTCTCAATGAAATTCGACATATCTATTTGTACAATTCAATAGCATCATTATTTTCACACCTTTCAGAACCGTTGGTTCTGAGATGGAAACTTTTCCAAGATTGCTAACTTTGCTAGTGATTTTGTTCACGTGGTGGTTATTTTCTATGGGCCCCTCCTCGTTTCTTGTTTTCTCGAAATTTGAAATAAAGAAATCATGCACTATAAAAAAAACTACTCTTTCAATGCTGCACTACTAGGGCAGGCAAACGTACTTTTTCCCCTTGTGTACGAGACTTTCCATGGAATCGGTTTCACTTCAGCCATTCCAATGAGAAATGATATCCCATCAATCTGTTCCAAAAGAAAGACGCACTACTGTTTAATATCATACTTCAATTGAATTTAACTCCTTTACTTACTTGCTTTCACCAATTTTTCATTGAGCACGTTAGCAAGGTACTTCCATGCCAAGACACGGGTAAACTGAAATGTGAAATAGGGAACGAAGAACTACAGTATATTATCATGCATTGCAGAACAGTAACCAAAGGTTGAAGGCTTGCTTTCATTCACACATTTTTCATTCGTGGAGTGCAGTTGATTAAAGCGAACTTAATTTTTTCAGTGCGTTTTTAAAACGGTTTTTCAAATCGGAATGATATGGAATGAAGAATGCACACTCATGCCTTTCGGTGATTTTTTATTATGTTGCTATATGCATGGTGATTTATAAACATTGTTATAGCGTCATCTACCTTATACCTTAATTCGAGGCAAAAGTTGTGGTGGTGGTGGCTGTCACCCCCAACGCGCGGGCCTAAGGTGCTATGCCACTCTGGGTCATATTCGAGCGTCGAAGGTTTCATTATGGTGATCTACAGATTCTAGAGCTGTGCATGTTTCCATGGAGCTATTTCTTTTACATTCCAGCGTATCTTTGGAAAATACAGTACAGTATATACACTCTGTCCCAAAAAAATATTGGATCATTATACAAGTTGTAGCCTCTCGAAATTGGTTCAGACTATCGCTGTGCGCTTTTGAGTGCTGACTAAGACATGAGCACATGCACATGAAGTTACAGTAAAATCCATCGATTCACTTCGGAGGTACAACAGCTTACTCCAAATAAGGTTGCAGCGGACCATTTCCTTGGGCCGCACTCGGCGCGAGCACAGCCAGCCAGAGAGGGAACTCACAGTTCCCCCGTTCCAGGAGGATGCGATACGTGCAGCGTTTGGGTTCCGATCAATGTCACGTGCCGGTTCACAGTATGACACGGCGGGCACTTCGAGCACCTCATCCGAGTGTCAAACAGGAAAGATTAATGCAGCTATCTTGGTCGTGCGCATCGTGTCAGCCATCCTGTATGAGGCACGATACTGAATAATAATACTAATGCACCCGTTTACTTTTGGCGGCACTCCCTTTTTGCCGGCAAGCTCTGAATCACCTCCTGGATTTCAATAACCAACAAATGTATATTGTTATAACTTTGCATGCATGTACTCATTTGACGCATTAGTCCGTCCGCAAAGGCGCACGGCGATAGCCTGAACCAATTAAAAGTGGCTAAAAATGGAAAAGGATTCCAAAATTTTTATGTGACGGAGTGTATTATAGAGCACATACTAGTACGGCTTTCAGTCAGTCGGCGTTCTCGGCCAAATTCCATATCCTGGCCTTTGAACGTTTCGATGAATTTCGGATGGTATCTGAATGTTTCCGATAGTAGCAATCACGTGTTAGCACGGAGCCGTGAGATTGGCATTAAATGGAGAAATTCCATTTACCAAGCCTGATTCCTTTAAGAAAAAATCTCATTGCGAAAAAAAATCAAATAAGTGCGAAAACCGCTTGATTTTGGGGCGGTACGTCACCCGCCACTAAAATATCACGCTGCTGTTCACATCTGCAAGAGTAATTCTGTAATTTCTTGTCAATCTCAGAGGATGGCAAGTCCTACGTGTAATATTTGACCTGTGGGAATCCCCCCACGTGATTCGTCTGAATGCCTTATATGGCCGGGTGACAAATAGCCCCATAAAATGAGAGCAGCAATTAAAAACACTGGTGCAATGACGGTTCCAAGCGGACTCAGGAGTGAATACACATTGGGTGAGAATAAAACTCCGCTGAGAGTCCTATTGATCAGGTCTATCCACAAGGTTTACCTCTAAGGTCTATCTTTCATGTCCCAAATTGCCAAGGAGTTTCAACTTTGAACCTCGCGATGCCAATTGGCATCATCGTTTTAGAAGCCTCTGGAACCATCTAAGCCCAAAGTAGAATATTTTTTGCCGGTTGGAAGTCGCAGATCCTGGGTTTAAACCGGCACAATGCATTAGACTTTATCACGAGTTAACATAGGTGAAAAAGTGGATTTAAAAGTTCTCACTTTCAACTTTTTTTTCCTGTTGAGCATGGAGGCTGATTAATGGTATTAGATTTTTATAGCAGTAAAAGCGGCAGAACTCTTTTTTCACGACTCCAATTGAAATCAATAGTTTTTAGCGAGTATCCATCTAGGTCTTACAAAAAAGATTTTTCCGTAGTATGAAGTACAGGTGGCCCATTAAAAAGTGGGCCCACTCCGCACTCGCTAGCGGCAGCGAAAGTTATTGGAAGCGAATGAGCGCGCGTTGTAGGTGGTATGATACCGGGTCCACGGTATTAAAAAAAAGTCAGGAATCACAGGGAAATAAAATGGGGATCATATCCAGCCTAGATTGTTTGAGACTTACCAGGTAATCTGAATTGATCCTGAAGCTCCTGATTCCCCTTAATCTTAAAGTCTGGTCCAAGTGGCCCAAAATGTTTCTGGGTGACCCACGGTAACCCAAAAAGGCATACATTGTCCAATTGACTGAATACGGGCCTAATTATCTGAGAGTTATATAATTTAATAAAATTGAAACACTGACCAAATTTGACCCAGAGTGGCATATAGCGACCCACTGTGACCCATTTCGACCCATGGTGACCTTCCCTGAATATCACTACTCAAAAGTAGTCAGAGTTGACCAATAGATTCAAGGTGATTCATGGTGACCCATGACAATCTAACGTGACCTAACATTGGTCACTGTTTCAATTTTAGTAAACTTATATCACCGTAGGAAAATTAGGCCCAAGTTGGATCGATAGGACAGGTTGAATCACCATGGGTCGCTATGTGCAACTCTGGTCTGGTCAAATTTGGGCACTGCTTCTATGTTTATAAAAGTATATCATCGCTTCCTTCACCTCCCCCCCTAAAAAAAAAGACCATGCATTTATGATATATGGACTGATTTACGTGGAGGTCTTCACTGAGGATACTCTCATATCCACAAGATACTCGCCGAAGAAGATGTCACTTTCTTCTGTCATTTTTCAGTTATCATTTCTATTCCGCTTTACGGTGGACAAAAAGTCACATTTTGGCTGTAAAGGAAATGGCTTAATTGTTCTGTTGCCTTTCTCGCTGAAGCTCCAAAGACCGGTTCTAAAATAAAGAAAAACTTTGACTCTAACTCAGATCAGGACGACATGACGCAAAGACATACCTAAGTGACATCCAAATAAGCAGAAGCATGACTGCAAGGAGATGAATTGTTTTCTTTTTTTAGATTACGCGCAGTGTTGTTTTTGGCTTATATAGTACTAACAGACGTACTGACGGTATTGGGGTATTGATTCTTAAGGTAAGAAGAATCTAACAACTTTAGTGCCGGTTGGTAGAGTGCCATAGTTAAAATCATATTTTGCTGCGACAGGGCACACAGGACAACAGACAGATCACACAAAACGATGAGGAATGGGACGCCAGCTTGGCAGATGCATTACACAGGGCATCGCGGTCCTTCGGGCAAGCAATGCTCAATGAACCGAAAGGAGGCCGCAGAGGCTGCTCACGTAATATGCCCTAAAAACCAGACACTTCCTATGGAAGCAGGTGGATCGCCTGTCGTCAGAAAGAGAACCTGTCACCACGTTACTCGATCCCACGCCTCCCAGGTTTTCTTAAGGGAGCTGCAGAAACGACTCGATTGCCGAAATCGGGACCCCATGGTCATATATGGCAATGTCACTGCATGAATGCCGAATAAATAAAACTCGGCACTACTGTCATAAGACTTACCAAGTACTTGGAAGGGAATAGCTAACTGACACAATGAGGAAAAACTCTATAGACAGGCGTGGTAAAGTACTTTTTGTTATCGAGGGATGGGGGAAAGAAGTGACGATGTTAACTGTTCTCCCTCTTGCGAAATGACAGTCTTTTATTATTAATCTTATCTTGAATTCTCTCATCGTGAAGGAATGGAATGCATCCGCTTTGATGATAGAACTTCATTTTCATCGTGGATCCGGTGATAATTAGACACAGCCAGGAGCTTCTCGGATCTCCATTGCAGACCTCGAGAACGCGTTCCGAGGCGTACCATCGCCAGAGCTGCGCAGGGCTAACGTCAGGGACTCCGCGCATCCCGCCATGCGATTGGACGAGGGAAAAGGAAGTTCTACTGAGTTCTACTGAGTGAAGAATCCGTTCGGACATCCTTCCACATCCCCGAATTCTTTTTTGCGCGAAATAACTTAGTCTCGTTAAAGCGCTTGACACCAAGTCTGAACGCCAGCCTTCACCCGGCGACATTTTTCCAAGGGAGTCAGTAAAAGAAGCAATCATTAAGCATTGCTTATCGCTTTCGCACGAAAACGGGCTGCCAGTCCAGCCCATATTCCAATTTCAACTAGAAATTTCTTTAATGGTGACCAAAGAAACCATTAAGTAATGGTTCCTTTGAAAAGCTATCGCACGGAAATGGCAATTAATAATTGCGCATATTGAATCATGCGCATCTTCGAACTCAGGTGAAAAAAGTGCCAAAATAAATCTGAAAATGTATTGCAACATTATTTCCCCCTTCAAAACTTTGGAATGACTCACCTCTCAACACGGCGGGAGTCTGGTTTCTTAACCTTCGGGTTTTCTACCAACATCCCATTTACCATTCGCAGTACCTGCCGATACTTGATTTCCTCATCTGCTCTCATCTGCTCTCATCACCCGGAGGGGAGAGAGAGAGAGAGAGAGAGAGAAACGGCATCACCCCTTTCATTCATGAAATCGTCTTGCTTGTTTTCTCGTTTTTTTTTTCCCGCATAAAATATTCATCCAATGTCCACTTCTAATTAATATTTTTTAGAGCCAGCTTGAATCCAACAGCCAATTCATCGCTATTGATTACTCATCGTGTCGATAGAATCCCTCATTTTCGGGTACAGCCACGAAGCAGGCAAGGGAACGGATTGGTTCCTAGACTCATCAGCATTTTTTTTTGACAAACATCAACTTCATCTGGCGATTCCACTTCATGTTGTGGACCAAATGACGTAATGCGCTGGAGAACTTGCAGAAATGGGCGTTTTTTCATACACGGCTCATGCAAACGCGATAGTGAAATGGGCTGGGGTTCGAGGGCCTGGAAAGCCAGGAAATCAGGCTCTTCGAGGGCCTGTAGCTCGGGCACCCGAGCAGATAAAAAGAATAAGTTCCGATTTCGATTCTCGAGTTTCTCAAGAGGAGTAATCACCGCAATCTTCGCTGGGAAGGACATCGGCGGGTCGGCCCCGCCATCCGTCGGCCCCGCCATCCGTCGGCCCCGCCATCCGTCGGCCCCGCCATCCGTCGGCCCCGCCATCCGTCGACCGGTCGTGGAACGACCCCGAGGAAAAGCCTCCCGTCGGGAAACGCGATCGCCTCCTCCGCGAAAACAAAGCCATTCGCTAAAATTCGCGATGATCGCAAGAACAGATTCTCATGGAGCGATCGTGCGTAAATGGCGACAGCTTCTGAATTCTTAACGATTTCCGTCTCGTCGACTTCACAAAATCCTTAGTCACCGCGGAATCGGAGTCCCCGACTTTTTTCCGAAGGAATTCCGTCATTTCTCCTCGCTCGGTGTCTTCTCACGGTGAGTTCTCGGCGAAATTTCGTGCAAGTCTCCCGCAATTTTGTCGCGATCTCGGCACGAAACCCTCGAGTGAACAAAATCAATTATATTTATTTAATCACTCGCGAGTTTGTTCGCCCTTCGGTCCCGGAAGCAAATAAGAGGCAAAATTAAACAAAATTTTCCTGTCCATACGGCCCGTCGAGTCACTTCCGTTTTCAAAAGGCCCTATCTCCAGTGTGGAGCGGCCTAGAAACTTCGTATTCGCATGGGGGATATGCAGAGACGATCGGATTTACGATAGGAAAGCTTGCAACCGCTTGCAACCGCTTGCAATGTTTCCGGACGCCGCCCTGGGGGAGGCGCCGGACTCGAGACACGGTCCGGAGTCGGCGCATTCCTCCGTCGGCGTGGATGGCACGATCCCACCCGAAGGGATTCCAT